ATGAAGTGTGGCTTGCACTTGTTCTGAGGAAGTGCTCAATAATATACTCTGCTCTGATCACCTGCTAAACATAAAGCATGAGTAGATGTCCTGATGAGTCTATGAAGTGGAAATTATTATCTGCACCAATGTCCCTTTAGATGCAAAAAGTCAAAACTCTCTTGCAGCTCGCCAGACATACAGAAAGATAGCTGTAGAAATGTCATCCTGGCTTTTAGATGTACTGTCTGTGCAACCCAACTGCATAAGTGGGGAAAGGAGAAGATGGCCCTTTTCTTATCTCCTGGCCCTTTTTCTCAGTGAGTTTGACCCACACGATGGGGAATAGCTGCCAAACACTCACCAGGCCTCAGCTTTCACAAATCTTTTCAAAGTTAGAGGAAGAGAGCAGGGACTCAGTAGTGACTCCTTTCCCAATCAGTCTCCTGTTTCCTCTGGCATCTGGTTTGTTTTTATTTAGTTCTGTTAAAAAGCTTAGCCTATCTGTCTGGTACCCTTGAAGCTGATGCCTATGTAATAAGAACCTTAAACCTGGCAGCCAATAATCTGTCAATCTTAAGGAAGTAAGATAGAAGCTGTCAAATGAATTGAAGAAATCTTGGAGTTGCTGGGGTTCTGCCACTCATTGATAATTATACACATTTTTAAAATTCAATGTTGGACAACCTAGAAATTACTAGATTTCAGAAGACACATTCATCTAATGTTAAAAAGTCAAGCATGTGTTTGCATCATGTTTGTGTATGTATACACATCTGTCTGCATGAGGATGTGTGTTCATATATGTGTATGCACATGTGTGTGTGCTCATGTCTCCCCCCAGATGGCACAAGCTCGCTTCCCCCAAAGCACACATTCGCCTGCATGACTGTAGCATGAATTCCATCTTGAAAACCAAGTGCCTCAGGTCAATAGCTCCAATTTCTTTAATGAACACTTAATTTGAACTAGACATCAACTTTTTTTTAACCTTTGTATTATTTACTGCTTGTGAAAGGTAAGAAAAAACATCAAATTTTTAATTCATTGTTGAAAATGGATAAAGGTAGCACCATCATTTTCTCAATGATTGACAAACTTGACTAGCAGCTTGTATTCTGCCTCAGTAACACTCCCCTCAAAGTGTGTGCAACTAATAAACACATGCACCATTGTATTTTGTTCTACACAGGTTAATTGATATTATGGTCCATCTTATAACTATAGTTAAATCATTTCATTTTATGGACACTCGCTTCACTTTTTTTTAAAATCAAATCGTAATTTTTACTTATTCACACAGGGGCTATAAACACAAAAAGGCAGGACGGGGGGAAGGGGATGACACTGGAGTGTGGGTGTTCAGGGGGAGTACAGATATCTTTCAGAACAGGGTACTGGCTGGGTGAAGTTTCAGGAGACAGGTCACTATGACTCTGCCTATGATTCACTTGTCCTTATCTAAGTTGGTATTGTCTGCCAAGGCTACCTATTTACAAGGTCTATGACTATTCAGACTGGTAAATTTCCACAAAAGCTGCCTGTTTACAATAGCTTATAGCCATCTGTTTCAGTGTTTATCCACAGAGACCCAAGACTTTGTGTTAGCATGCATGTATGTCAGGCCTATTGCTGATTTTAGGACTATGGCTGATTTTAGGCCTCATTTCACATCTAATTTTGACTTTTTTTTTGCTTGGTTTTCTACGTTTTTAAAGTTGGACACCATAGAGTCCAGGAGAGCATGAAGCTCCTTATGGAGCTCAGGCCTGCCTTGACCTACACCTCCTTAGCAATGGGATTGTAGACTTGTACTTTATTATCTGTGTCTTTTAGAATATTTTTACTGCACTGTGATAGCTAGATTGACAGTTTTCCTTTGCCATAGGGCATCATCATCTGAGCTGTAAGCAGGTGTTAATCTACAAGCCACGCTGAAAGCACACTGTGATTTATTCTGCCTGACTATCCCCTGTACATAGCAGAATGTCACAGGCTTTCCTCCACTTCATGTTACAGTTAACTAAGTGATAGTATAATAATTATACTGGGCAAACGATACACTTGCATTTTTGTGTGTTTTGTATCACTTCTGACTTTTTCATAAAACTTTAGGGACTCCATTGGAGGAATTAAGACTTACATTTCAAATCTCCCTTCTTTCCTCATTTCTGGTTAAACAGTAACACAATGTGGTAGGTAGAAGGGTGACACCTGGTGGCTCACTTTATTATATCACAGTTGGCTGCAGAGAGGCAAAGTATTTGGTAGGAACTGGTAGAAGGGGCCACTCTTGTCCAGAAAAGCACCAGGTGTGCTAGGCACACCCATAACGCCAGCACATGAGAGGTGGAGGCAACTGCATCAGAGTTCAGTTCATTCTCAGCTCCACAGTGAGCTGGAGGCCAGCCTGGGCTACATGAAACTTTCTTAAAAGAACAAATAACAAAGTGTGTGTATGTGTGTCTCTGTGTGTGTGTGTGTGTGTGTGTGTGTGTGTATGTCTTTCTGTGTGTAGAAGATATTTTAAAAGAGAAAGCACATGAAATGTATAGAAGACAGAATTCTGTACTAGATGTTGGAAAGGCTAATACGCCAAGCCGAGGCTGAGTTCTCTGAAGTGCCCCAAGAGCAGATGGTAGAATATGAAGCTCTGTGAGGCTCCTCATGCCTGCTGGGAGGTCCTCATTGGAAGCCTTTCCTCTTAAGTGGTGCAAGAAGAGAAGAGAGGCAGCTCTTTGCTGTCTCTCAGCAGTACTCCAATGCACTCCCCCACCCCCGCTCCGACACATTTCAAAGAAGAATGTTGCAGGTCCGGTGACATTTTTTCCCATAATGTTACTTTTAAACTAACATCTTTTTTAAAAAACACTTTGATTTAATAATGGCTGTCAAGCCGTTCTGAAGAGCTTTAAGCATGAAACATGTGTGGACTGACTCACACCTGACATTTCAAATCATTTTGGAGCATAACGTGTTTGTTCTTTAGTGACTAACTCTACTCTTTAACATACAGTACACCAATGCAATGTTTCAGTACTTGGGGTGTCATTTTTTTCTTTTTAGAAAGCAGGGGTGCCCTCATAAATGCGTTTGTTTACATATTAGGGGTATCACCTGGCCATGCTCTTCCCAGCATATATTCTGATGGTCCAGATCTGCTGTTTCTTATTAACCTCCCAAAGTGGAGAAAAAGAAAACTAGTGTTACGGGGAAAAGCTTCTCTACCTCCTCCCCATTTGCCTGAATAAGAATTCACAATCCCAGTAACATGTGTGTGTGTGTGTGTGTGTGTGTGCAATGAGTGTTTTCTAAAGTCGAAGAGTTTTCTGTGTTGAGAATCAAACCCAAAGTAACACATGCCAGGTAACTATTTACCACTCCTCCATCTCTTTGTAAAAATAACATTTTAGGTAATTTTATTTAAATATTTACTAGATACTAGTCTGTTCTCAGCCTTAATTCCTCCAAAGAATCCAATGAGGAACACATTTTTATCATTGTTAACTTTTACTTCAATTATGAAAATAACAGAGATTACTTAACTGGCTGTTTGAAATTGCTAGTTAGTAGGTAGAAAATGGCTGTGCTGGAATATTAATTCAGCTCATAAACACTACAGTACTTACCTCCAAGCCAAGAAAACCTATGGTGGAACACTATTGCTATTTCTTGCCAAACCTCAAAAGGAATTACCACCGCTACCTGGTAGCAGACTTCTTTTGTCTTCTGCAGTAAGGAATAAATATGCTTACCTTTTCAAAACTAACCATAGCCTTAGAAGTTTATCAGAAATATTTTGAAACTTAGCTGGGGCTTTTGGTGTAAAGTGTTTGTGATGAGTGTATGTAACAAAAGACAGAAATTAAATGTTTTAATTTTTTTGTCAGCAGGCTTTATTTGCAAAGTGTTACAACCATAATATTAATTTTATATGTCACTTTCTCTGTGTGAGTAATTTGCCGGCGTTCATGGGACCCATTGAGATCAGAAAAGAGCAACAAATTCCTGAAACTAGAGTTATGCATGGTTGTGAGCTACCTTGTAGGAGCTAGGAACCAAATTTTCGCCCTCTGGGGGAGTATCGAATGCTCTTAACTTCCAAGCCATCTCTCCTACATCAATGTTAAACTAATATGTGGAAGTCCAAAATCAACAATAAACTCACCTTGAGACCTACTGCTACTTGCTCTTCTGCCTTTTTTTTAAAAGGGGGGGATTAGCCTTGTTTTGACATCACTAATCTTATCACAAGCTTCACCAGGACCTTGTAGGCTTTGTAATGACCTTAATCAAGTATTAGCCCTGTACTGTAACTGTCAGCTCTACAAAACTTTTCTTAAGCTGAGCGAGCCATGCTGTGGTTAATAAGGGCTTGGAATCACAGCATGTAGAGGATAACCGATAACCTAACTTTATCCTTTTGTAGACTTTCTCACAGTATTATTTTAAAAGGGGGGGGGTAGAGTCATTAGGTCTCTGACTCGAGATAGAGAATGTGAAGTTTGCAGTTAGGGTGCTCAATTTCAATTGATGCCTTTTCAATGTTTATGTCTTTCCAAATAAAACTGCCAGGAACGAGCTTAAACTTTACTGCCAGGGGATATCTTTGGCATATTTAACTCACTCTGTTTTGGACATTTTACCCGAGTAAAGAAAGAAACCATCAGCTAATTTAATAACAAGATAGAAATAAAAGCAAACGAGAAATGGGGATATCTGCTTTGTGAAATGGTCCCAATACGCCTTTCTTTCGCGTGGGAGGAAAAGGGGGGGTGGGGGACAAAAAATGAAGTTTTTCAACAGGATTTAAATCCGGTCTTTAAGAGACACAGCACGCAAAGAATAGCTGAGGCTTGCTAGCCAATGAAAACATCCAGATTCCAATGACTCATCCTGTTTGCTCCACCCCCTTTCAAGGGCCTGTTTCGAAAACCCCGCCTAACGCCTCTAGTTTTCAATCAGGTCCGCAGAAGGCCTATTTAAAGGGAAGCTTGTGAGGGTCTTCCATCTTTTCTCACAGCCATGTCTGGACGTGGTAAAGGAGGTAAAGGCCTGGGCAAAGGCGGCGCTAAGCGTCACCGCAAAGTCCTTCGCGATAACATCCAGGGCATCACCAAGCCCGCCATCCGCCGCCTGGCACGGCGCGGAGGAGTGAAGCGCATCTCCGGCCTCATCTACGAGGAGACCCGCGGTGTGCTGAAGGTGTTCCTGGAGAACGTGATCCGAGACGCCGTCACCTACACGGAGCACGCCAAGCGCAAGACCGTCACCGCCATGGACGTGGTCTACGCGCTCAAGCGCCAGGGCCGCACGCTCTACGGCTTCGGCGGTTAAGCTACTAACAAACGCTTTCCTTCACTGTCGCAAAAGGCCCTTTTCAGGGCCACCCACAAATTCATTCGAGGAGTTGTTCACTGTTACTGAAGAGCCTGTGGGGTGGCTTAACGTGTATCCTATCCTACACTTAGCGTGATTTAAAAAGTAAACAATAGGTTGTAACTCTAGTGTTCTATGTCAACGCAGCTTTTTATTCCTGTAGCTCTAACCTGAGTTTAGGTAACTTACCAAATTGTGAACAGTGCTGAACGAGCTCCCTTAGACTCCCACCTATTGAGGCTAATTTTTTACTGTCATCGTGTGACGTTGAAAGTCAGTCCACTTAATGGTATCGGTCATTTAAAAGCTTATTCCGTTCTTGAGCCATCAAAATTGCAACTTCAGGGGAGTAGGGACCATTTGTATCTAAGCAAGGCAAAGGCTGATAATACAGAAACTGAAGACGTTTAGCTGTTACTGCATACCATGGACCTAAGTACACAAATATTCTATATTAGAGACACCAGTATTTAGTGTGTCTGTCTACAAACTGCGTAGTTGTGCGATGACTTGATAATTTAAATTCGTGTGGTTGTACCATGTTTGCCTTCTGCCAGAAGAGGGAGCCGTTATTTCCAGGAAGCTGGAGTTAGAGGCCATTGTGAGCCAGCTGTTGTGTGTTCTGATACAAAATCTTTAATATTAATAGCATCAAGTATTCTTGACTGAACAATCTCTCAAGCCACCCTGCTATGATCTTTTGTCACTCTTCATACCAATGCCTAAAATAGATTAATGTGAATTTAATATTTGTGACACTCCATAAAACTGCAAAATCACGGCTTTAAAAGCTGAGGGGTTTTTGTTGGTGGGGTTTTTTGTTTTGGTTTGGTTTGGTTTGGTTTTTGTTTGTTTGTTTGTTTGTTTGTTTGTTAACGTTCTTCAGCACAGACTTCCCCAGTACAGTTTTGGTTATATTGGGGTATTGAACTCGAGCCCTAACAATTTTATAAAAGAATAGAGGTCCTTAATTTTTAATATGGCTCTTGTCAGTTTCATGAAGCCTACATGCTATTTCATAAAATACACAAAAATTTAAACAATAACTGCTAGATCAATAGTATTAAACTACTTTCTGAAAGTGGAACAAAAATGGATCTTTGTTGACACATCGCACAATTGCAAAAACATCAAATAAGGTTTTGTTTCTTGCGAACTGCTTGCTATACTTTTTAATACATCACTCAGGAAATCCTAAAAAATCTAACTCAAGAAAAATACATATAACCTCTAGCTTGAGTACTGAATATCCAGGTTCATAGAGGTGCTTTGAAAGCCTGGGCACCAGTTACTGGTGTTTTAAAGAGTAAATTTAAGTTCAGTATTTGATCGGAGTGGGCAGCCTACTACTGTGGTCGTTTCTAACTCCTTCCTTGATGGTGATATAGTGGTGTTTCTAGAATGAAATATATCCATTGTGTATTTCAATGGTGACTTTTATTCTAGAATGAAAGACATTGTGTATTTCAATAGTGGCCTTTATTCTGGTGTAAAGCCACTAATACACAACCAAATTTGGAAATACTCTACACATAGGGACCCTAGGTTTCCACTCTAGGGTTTAGACAGCAGGTCGACCTAAAAACACTTTGGTCCAAAGTGTTTGCCCATTTTATGAAGTATGTAAGTGGCTCTTAAAAGAGCCTTTGGGTTTTGAAAACTGGCTTTGAAACTCACTTCCTCCCTGCTGCCTTCCTCAGATCAGTCTTCTGCATGACCATCTTTGCCTTCCCAGAGTTGGAGGTGGCTGCCCTCGCTTTGGCTGGGCTTTTGCGCTGCTGCACGCCCTTGGCCCCTTTGGTCTTCCTTCTGCTCCCAGAAGCTTTTGTGGGCGTAGCCTTTGGCTTCTTGACCACCTTGGTCTTACTACCCTTGGGTGATCTCGAGGCCCTGGACAAGCCCAGCTTTTTAGCCTTGGCAGAAGCGGATTTCTTGCCCTTGCCCTTATCGTTCCCCGAAGCCGCCTTCTTGCTGAGCTTGAAGGAGCCTGAGGCGCCGGTGCCCTTGGTCTGCACCAGGACTCCCTTATTCACAAGTCTCTTGAGGGCCAGCTTGATACGGCTGTTGTTCTTCTCCACATCATAGCCAGCCGCAGCCAGGGCTTTCTTCAGGGCAGCAAGGGACATTCCTGCCCGTTCCTGAGACATGGAAAGGGCCTCAGGAATCAACTTGGAAACCGAGAAACCCCGAGGTTTGCGGGCAGTGCCCAGGTCTGGCTTCTTCCCTCGCCTTTTAGATGAAGGTTTCTCCACAGGAGCTGGAACAAGAGTACTTGAGGCCGCAGGAGCCGTTTCTGACATAGTCAAGAGGTGATTAAGAACCACATCAAATGAGAAAAAGCAAAAGAGAGCCAACAACGCTGGGGTAGCAGGAGGGGGGGTACTGGGGGGGGGCCTTATATAGAGCAGGGCGCGCTGTGATTGGTGCATCCCCAGGCGCCTCCCCCGCCCCTGGAGGAGGGACATTTGTGTTTCTTTTCCCCCAAAAAGTGGAATCTTGCATATGTGTTCACTACAGAATCGCTCAGGTTATGACACCAGGTGACTCACGGGGACTTGGATTCCATCCGACTTTTTATCCTTTATTGACAAATGTTCCTGCATGCCAGAACTAGTAGAAAAAGTCCTTGATTTTCAATCAAATTCAAGAAGAAGAAGAAAACTTTCCCTTTTCCTTGCTAATTCAAAAGTAACTTTTAGTAGAAAATGTATCCAACATCTTGGGAGGGATCTTTTACATATGTGGCTTCTAACTAGTGAAGAAAACCAATTATGCAGGCCCAAATTTTCACTTAAATTATTTATATACATGAAGGAAGTAACACAGATGTCTTGACTGTCTCACTGTGGAACTAGACGGTGTTCCTAGAACTATCCCAAAACTCCAAGGTGAGCCCTTCTTGAAGGGAGCACGGCCTAATAAACACTCCACAGAGCATGTAAGAGGCACGCTACTCTCCCTGAATCTTAAGAGAAGGGCTTCGGATGCGGTTATAATCATCTTACCAATGGCACCTATGTAGTCAAATCAGCCAACCTCAAGGCTATTATCAAAGAGTTTGCTATTCCTTTCCAACTGAACACCACCAATAGCCCACTTCCTATGTCTTACCTACCTCTAGATGAGCAGACACAGTGCCTAAACCTTAATTACAAAATTATAAAGCTGGAATTACAGTTTCCAATCTCCTAACATGGCTAGGCTGGTGGTAAATGTGCCTGCAGATGTCTTAGAGAGATGTTCTTTCCGGAGCTTTATCCAAAGAACATGTCTGGAAATAAGAGTGCTCACAGCTGGGCATGGTAGCAACTTACTGATAATTCCTTCCTGAAGAAGGGAGGATTGCTGTGACTTTTGAGGTCACCTTGGACTAGAAAATGAAAACATGTCAACAGAAAAAGAGAAAAAGGAGGGAACATGATACTCAGGTAGAAGGGAGGCATAAAAGCCAGTCCGTTGTGAGGAATGCTAAGACCAGGTAGTGGGATTATATCAACTGAAGTAGAACGTATGGCCCAAGGCAGCACCCAGACAGCCTGAGTGCTTTCTGGAGATACCTACCCTTGTGAGGCAGGGACCTCAATTTATGCTATAGAAAAGTTTAAGACAATATGAGGAAAATTGTTTATTAAGAAAAAATGAGAATGGGTAGGTGCCTGTGTCTCAGAAAAAGGTTTGTGCTTCTGTCTTAACAGTTAATTGTCTGTCTAGGCCTGGTGTGCCGAACTGTAAACCTAGCTACTTGAGAGATGATCCAAGTTCAAACCAAGCCTAGGCTGTAAAGTAAATAAACCTCGTAAGACACTGTCCCCAAATAAAAATGATACAGAAAACACTGGGGAGGAGTCTTGCACCTGCCTAGCATGGGGTAGAGCCTACATTCAAATCTAGCACTGCAAGGTGTGTGTGTGTGTGTGTGTGTGTGTGTGTGTGTGTGTGTGTGTTTTGTATGTCTTGAACTTACACTGATCAACCATGTTTAAAGCTTAATAAAGCAGTTCAAAAATTAATTATTTTTGAGGTGTTATTTGTTTCTTTTTAAGAATTTCTTTTTGGGAATGAACTCACAAGGTTGTTTATGAGACACACTGTTTAGGGATGAGAGGGGAGGGCTGGCATTTGTGCTCAAAGTCACATGTTTGTCCTTAAGCAGTTTATGAGTTGTCTTGTTACTCTTGTTTGAGATGTTTAAATTGACACTTGACTTTCAAATGGTCAAAAACATAAACTAGACTTTGGAGTTGAGGTTGAGGTGAATGTTCCAGACCCGTGTCTCCTGAATTTCCTGTCTTTCTGCCCTTTATCACCAGAACTCAGGACCTTAGTCCAAGGAAATCCCACTAGGACCGTTTGTGACACTCTTTAAATATTTGCGTGAAGAGATGTGCTGATTATTCTCTGGCCCAAAACCATCAGAAGGTCAAGAATATTAACTATTATGTTATTGTAATATTTATCTAAGATCTATGTGTTTTGCATAAATATCAACAACACTGCTGGTGAGGACAGAAAGTATAAGGTGGGGCTCTCTTGCAGGAACCTCAGAATTTCAAAGGCAGTTTCTAAGGAGACAATGTGGGGAGAGCTCTACATTTGAAGTATTTCTGAAATAAAAATGGAAGGCTGAGAAATCAAATTTCTGGTTGCAAGATGGCAACCTCTTTTTGTTTCTCTCAGGCATGCACAGGCACATGCGTATGTTCATACACACACACACACACTTCAGAAAACAAGATATCTTAATAAAATACCTGGATTCATATGTTATTCTATTCTGTTTCATTTGGAAAAACAAAACAAAAAACCAACCAAACAAACAAAAAACAACACCAACAAAAACCCCTACCAGTTGAAGAGTCACAGATTGATTTCCTCCTGGTACTGTATGTAATCTTCCACCAAGAAAATAGCACTCTAAGTATTTGACACCCATTTGGTTTCTCTGACCCTTGATCACACACAAAATTTCTAGGACATTAACTATCAGTGGCATATAAGCATCAGGTGGAACTTTACAGATTCACAGAATATATTCTTCTTTTGCTTTAAAAGTAATATGGAATTAATTTAGTGAAGACTTGGGTTCTATAATTAAAAATCCAGAAAAAAAACCTGAATTCATATTTTTGCCCCAGACAGCTGAAAATAAGCATTAAAAAAAAAAAATGACATCCACAAAGCTGTCCAGGTTTGTTTTGTTTCCCAGTGTAGCCAAGGCTGTCCCTTCAACTCCCAGTCTTCTTGCCTCAGCCTCCTCAGTCAGTCATGGGGTTACAAGTCACTGCCTCCTCTCTCTCTCTCTCTCTCTCTCTCTCTCTCTCTCTCTCTCTCTCTCTCTC